CCAAATCGTAGTTTGAAATCATTGTTGGAGAATAGAGTCCCACATCGAGTATATGACAAAATACAATACAACTTATAAATAAGATATTTCATTATTAATATCACCAAGACATTTTGTGACAAAATTCAACACCTAATAATAGGTGATCATGTTGAAACACTATCAGCGATATTGCTAGTGAACCCGCATGGCCCTACAAAGTTTATCAACCATTGCAATACATAATGCATGGTTTACCTACCCATTAATTTTTCTTTTTAATATCAAAGAGGTTACCTAATATTCTCATTTTTATATAGTTGAAGCAGATACTAGAGTAGGAACATAAGATATGACCAATTTTTGTTAATATTAATGGCCAATTATCTACTCGAGAACATTATCTTATATAAATAAAATTAATGTTTGGAACTTGCTCGAATCGAATACTTAAATAATTATTGTGCAACTAACGTTTCACTAAGATCCAATATTTGATGGTCGATCTTACTAACAAACATTATATAATCTAAGGATATTCATCTTCAAATGTAAGTGAAATGTTTCAATATTGACACACATTGAAAACAACAAATATTATATTGAGTTATTTACCTATCTATATGACTGACCCATTCTATTGCTTAGCAAAATAAAAGTTGTGTTGAGTTCAACATTTAGTCATGACTAATAAACCATGTTGCTTGTGCAATTCTCCTCTCCTTAAAGTACGATATTGTTGCAAGTGGTGAATTGTCGCAGTGGATAAAGCTTTCCTCTTCGACCTACTATGTCCCAAGTTCAACCCACCCCTGTCTCCTTATTTCTTTTTCTTGATATATTTTAGAATAGTAATATTGCTTGTAATAAACAAAATTTTGATGTTTCCTAGAGTCAACCAAGGACGTGCCAAGGTGGTGAGGTCCATGTTTCTGGTGAATGCTGAGGCCATTATTAAGTACCATTTAACCTTGTATGGTTAAATATTGTATGCGTAATATGTGGGTTTGTTGCATATATTTTTGACAGGACCACCCTCCAAGGCTCCAAATATTGTTTGTATGATTGCATTGCACGCCAACAACTTTGGTCTCACAAGACAACAACACAAGTCCCAAATTACTACTTTCATGCTGGAATATTTTAACTCACTAGTCTCAAGTGATCGTGATAATCGCTATCCTATTTATCATCATTAAATGAGTTTAAATTTCAAGATTTGTATAGTGGATACACACAAAGCTTAAAATTTAAACTCATCAAATAATAATAAATAAGGTGGTAAGCATTACTACCATTTAAAGGTAGTGAGCAAAAATACATTTTGAAACAGGCTCTTGTAAGAAGCAGTCAATACCCAAATGGTGAAAAGGTGAAAATACGTACAAACTTCCAAAGTTCCTAGAAGCAGTCAAACTAAATTTTGGATTATCTTTTTCTTGCTTTAAGGTTGGAGCAAAGAAATTATATCAAATTAATCATGTTTAAGGAATGATTATGTGTGAAATGTTTTCTACTTGGCAACTATCTTAAATTTCCTTTCCTCGACATCAGTCCTGGTACCAAAACGTGCATTGACATTAACGAATCAATATTAGTTATCTTAACAAACTTGTGTAGCGCCGTGAATTTAACAAGAGTGTTAGAGGACTTTAAACCTGTGTATTTAGAGGATTGTGTTTATGAATTATGTAGTCTTTTGCATGACTCGGTCTTTTATCATCTAGACGTCTTGACAATATGTAGTTTCTTCTTCTTGTTTTTTCACACACAACAATGTTATTTTTATTATAATGCAAGGGCTTTCACGAGAAACATTTGAAGATGAGACGCTTATAAAAAAAATCAAATGATGCATATATGAGTTTAGTTACGTTAGTTAGAGTAGTTTGCACTACCTTTTGCACTCAAGTTCAAAATCCTCTTTCGGTGGTTTAAATAAATTTAATGTAATTGTTTATTGTTTAGACTTTAAAACAGTTGGAGAATAGGATCCTGCATCGGTGGGCATATAACAAAAAAAATATACAATTAATATATGGCATTTAGCATCACCGAAATTTTTTATGATAAAACCTCACAGTTGCAACTACTAGTCTTACTCCACTGCCACCACCGAATAGGCTACTACTGCCACAATCGCCACCACTGCTACCTCAATACCATAACTACCGCACCCTACTATTGGCCTCAACACCATACCCCGCCATTGTCGCTGCCATCATCAACAATGTCGTCTTCACCACTATCGCCGCCACCACCACTACCATGTCTATTTTTGTCATTTACACAAATTGTATCACTTACACTAAAATTTACTAAACACTTTTACACTACTTTTTATATTCACAACACTTTCTAAAATATAGTTTATCAAATGCTCAATTATTTTATTTTACAACTGATTATTTTGAATGAACAACAAAATCAGTTTTGACTTCTTTTTCTAACCCTAACCAAAATGAAAAAGTATATTATATAATTACAATGTACAAATTGCAAAACTTCTCCAAATAGTAAAAGCATTTTTACATTTTTTTTTTCTTCTCTTATTGTGTACATCAATGCACCAAATGGTGTGTTAATGTTGTGATATCACAGCTTGTTGACATGATACTATCAAAATTAAAACTATCATAGACAAAAAGAAATGTTTTTGTGTACTTTACTTTGGGGTAGGGAGTGACTTAAACCCGAAATTTAAAAATAAGACTTTATTCAACCAAGTCTCTTTGTGACTTGTGTGCTGTGTGAAGTGGGAAATTCAAATTTCATCCTTGGAAAAAAGCTAAAGGCCGTCAACGTGCTTGAAGAAAAAACAGAAGGGACTGGAATATATTCAAACGTCGCGTGCGGGTTGAGGCGCAATTGGTCCACTCATTAGGTAAAATTAAATTTAAACAAAAATTCATGAATTAATAATTATAGAAAACATCTCACTATTTTTTTTTCTCATAAAACAAACTTTTAATACAATAATATATATTTTCTTAAAATTATGTTTTTAGACCATATTTTATAGACCATATGTTGTGGTGATTGATGACTAAATATTTTTCTTTAATCATTTAAGGGAAAATTAGAATACCCTACATCTTTTCTATAGTTGTTAGATTAAACATTCATCTCTTTTAAAAATTTGATTAAGGTGCTTTGATCAATTGCCACCTCAATAATTTTCTATTTATTTAATTTTCATGTCATTAATTTAAATGCATTTATATAAAGGCATAAGGTAGTTTAGCAACTAATTGCCTATAATATAAGAATTTAATTTCTTCAATCCCATCCTACGCATTAAATGACATTTTAAAATAAAATAAAAAAATTAATTAACTAATTCCTCATTACCTTATTATCAATATTTTAAAAAAAAAATTCTCTTTCTATTAAAAATGTCTCAATAAAAAGTCTTCAATATATATATTTTCACGTATAGATATATAAAAAATATACTTAAAACTTATGATACATTTGAGAACAAAAATATCGACTTTTGGTACGTTTAGATTTCAAATGTATTGACAAACCAAATGCACCAAAAATTCAAATGTACCATAAAACCAAATGTACCCATTGTTACGTAACCCTTTTGGTACGTTTAGATTTCAAATGTATAGAGAAACCAAATGTACCAAAATTTCAAATGTACCATAAAACCAAATATGCCCATTGTCAGGTAACCCTTTTGGTACGTTTAGATTTCAAATGTACCAAAAGACCAAATGCACAAACTATCACAAATGTACCACAAAACCAAATGTCTCTATCAGATAACCCTTTTGGTACATTTACATTCCAAATGTATCGAGAAATACAAAAAAATCAAATCCGCTATAAAACTAAATGTGTCCATATTATAGGTAACTAGATGTATCTATATAATCAAACAAATCTTTATTATGTGTTGGGTCTTCCAAATAATAAAATCTGACAATTTTTTTTATAAATATTCTACTATATTCACAAAAAAAAAAAGTAAAATTATAACAAACAATAAAAAAAAATGCATATAGATGGATAATAAATGCATAAATATAGGGATAAGAGGAAAAAAAAAATGAAATGTCTAGGAAAAGTTGTGAAAAATTGAAATTAATAACCAAAATTTTAGGAAAATGTTTGATCAAATTTTCAAAAGGAGTGTATGTTTAGTCTAAAAAATTAAAAAATGAGGCGCTTATATCAAAATGCCCCATCATTTAAAGAAGAATTCGATCATTAACTACTATATCATGTGATTTACAAAATATAATTAAAGCAGATAGTCTCTCTTGCATCACCTAAAAAACATACCACTACAAGGTATTACTAGTTGGTTCCCATAAAATATACATAATATTTGTATGAGGAAAATAAAATTAAAAATTAGACAAGAATTAGAATTTATAAATTGACAGGTACTAATTCCCTTAATTAAATTCATAAATATAAAAATATAAAATTTCCGCATGTGAAAAAAAAATAAAATTCGAGACCTCCAATTTTAAGTTTAAATTCTTTAGGTACCATTTCCAAACTCCTATGATTAGAGTTTAAAAATAAAAAAAATATAAAAAAACTCCGACCACCACAACATATCACCAGCATCTACCACCACCACCAACCCCATGCACCATCATTTTTCATCACCATTACGGTTGCCGCCACAACCACATACTATTGTGGCCCCTAACTGTTGCCACCACCACCCACTACCATCACCTCTGCCACCATCGATCATCACCTCTGCCACCACTTACCATCATCCTTGCCACCACCACTGCTAACACATTTTCTAACTATATTTCATTTATATATGAATGATTTTATACACAAAATTAATTTTGTATTCAACTTTTATTGTTATTCTAGGTTAATCAAACAACAAAAATATATACATTCTAAAAAACAAAGTTCAGCAATTTTTATTTTGGTCATTTTGAAATTCCTTTGTACTAAATTTCCTTATCCAAAATACACTGTGCAAGTAATTATAAATCCCAAGACAGAAATCAAATATTTTACTTTAAAAACACACAAGAAACAAAAACAAAAGCGCATTTTCTTAAGTGATTCTGAAGCATAGAGACAACAGAGGCCATCGATAGCCAGCACCGATACGAGCAAGGCACTCCCATTTTCTTCAATTTTCCATATCCGGGTAATCCGCGTGTTGCTTCTGGGCTCGCTGTTCGATTCTGTTATTGTTTTTGGTGTTGTTTTTGGGTTGCAATCTGGGTTCTTTGTCTGTTTTAGCAATTGGGAGGGAGACCCAGTTGTCTAATTTTGCATGAAATGGTGGTTTGGGTTTGAAATTTCAACTGGGAATCTGTGTTTTGGTTTCTTCTTTGTAATTTATGTTGTGGGTTTTGTTTTTTCTTTTGATTAGTATTTGGGTTTCCCGAGGGGAACGGGGAAATTTTTTTTTCATTTTTTTTTATTGTGCCTGGATTTATTTGCACTGCTATTTTAGATGAAGGGAAAGTTAGTTTTTGGCAACAACCCAGATTTTAGTTTAAAATTTGCATATCTGGGTTGAATATTTTTATTTGAATTTGTTTGCTCTCTCTCTCTCTCTCTATCTCTAAGGTAGATTTTGGTAAGGTTAATTTGAATTTTTGTTGGGTTTTTGGGTGCAATTGTGAATTGGGTTATGCTTGTTGTTGTACTACTATTATGGTGCCTTTTTTGTTTCTTTGGAATGATTGAGAACGCTGGTTGCTTTTAATGTCCTCTCTGTAAATTTTTGAACTTAGTATTTTTAGTGCAAATGAGGAATGTGGGTTTTAGTCAAAGCACAGTTCTGAATTGATCTTGGATTGTCCTTATCTTGCTGGATGTGTTTATACATCTGAATTTGCCTATGTGACGGTCGAAAAGTCGGAAAAGGAAAATCAATATGTTCCATGTCTCATCTCTCTTTTGAAGTTGAAAACTTTACATATTATTTTAAATTTTTTGCAGGATGCATGATTGCCTCTTCAATCTCCATAATTTCCTTGCTTCCTTTTAAGATGAACTCTGTCATTGCTACATAACATCTATGCAGTAATAAAACTTGAACGTTGATATGCATACTAAAGTTTTATAAAAAGCAAGTGATCTTATAATTGTCGGATTCATGATTTACCAATAGTTTCAGGAGGGTCTTTACTGTGCCTTGGTGGTATGCTGAAATACTCATTGGTAAAACAAATTCCAATTTTATCCCAGTAATCGATTTGCTGATATTATAAGTGCTTGAAGAGCATTTTCGAAGCTACTATGGAAAAGTGGAGATATTTATAGGTCGTCAACTGTAAGAGATTGGGAATCTCCTGCTGCCAAGCAAGAAGCTTTTCCGAGTTCTTTTGATATCACAAAGCAACTGGAGGTTGCATGAAACATTCTTGATACCCTTGTTATTTGTCATTTCTCTGGACTTTGGACTAGAGCTAAATAATACACTCTTTAGAAAGTATTTCATTCATAGTATGTGAAATACTTTAATAAGTCTTTATTCATCTTGTTTTGACAGAGATAAGCATGTCCACGGAGAACTGAGGACGGAATAGAGGGCAAGTAGATTACTCTGTGTGTTATGAGCCAGAATTTTTGTTCAATTTGAATCACTTGTGGCTCCTGGGAGAATTTTGTAAGGGGGTTCTTTAGATTTGCATCGTTCGTGCTCCTGGGGCACTTTGCAAGGGGGTTTTGAGTCTGCAGATTATGACATGGCAATCGCTAAGTCGGAGGCAGGTAGCAATAGTATGCTTAGTAAGACTACCCTTGGTTTGGGTGGAAAGCATGGTCTCTATTCAACCAATGGTGTGCATGAGTTACTTGAGTGCCCCGTCTGCACAAATTTGATGTACCCTCCTATACATCAGGTACATGTGCATTGAGGACATATTGTGTTTCACCTGAATCTTCCTTTCTGAATCTGAATTGATCCTACTATATATCACTATAATCTTTGAAAATTTATTACTCTTGCCCTGATACTTGCTATAGCGGAAGTTGAAGATTCAGTGAAGCAATGCAGTCATGACCCGTTCTAACTACCCTTTAATGATGTTACAAGTTAAATATTATCAGTGTACGCATGATGGAGATAATTGGATGATGATCAGTATTAGGTTTAATAGGTGTTGAATCAGCTCATTGTTAGTGAAGCTTTTGACTGCTGGTTTCTGGCAGTGGAGAGGATGGTTTAAGGAGGGAATATAAAGTTTGGTTGCGCCAACATAAAGTGATTCTCATTAGTGTTGAGGGAGATGTTTTGTGATTGTAGTAGAATATCGTTTTAGCCCAATTTGCAAACTTCCATTGCTGTTTTCATTTCTTTATCTCCTTTTGATTTTCTAGGACTGACTCATGATCTTCGTATATTATCTTATTTAAGTTCCCATGGTAATTCTGAGCTGCCCTGCATTAATTTGGTCTGAGTTTACTTCAATATGTCAAAGTGTATGGAACTGTCATGCTGTCTCCTTCCTCGTTTTAACTGCCAAAAATAAGAATGTTATGACCCCTTTGTTTTAGTTGTTATTGCTAGCTTAATTTAGCTAATTATGTGTATTATTATTCATACCATCCACAGGGTATTGTATATGTAGTACAGTCAACCAATTAATTTTATTACTCTTAATTTTTGGTTTCCTGAAGGCTAAATTGCAATGGCTATGTACTTTTATTCAACCAGAACATTATTTGCTTGCTTACTGTTGGGGTTCAGATTTCCTTGAACCCCTTGAAGTGACCAATCTCTCATTTTCTCATCGTTAACTTTACTCTCTTCTTGTGATTGAACACTTGGGGGTAGTGTCCTGTCATCCGGAATCACATGTTCTGTTTGACTAATTCTTTCTGTTTCTAAATTCTTCTTTTGCAGTGTCCTAATGGCCACACGCTATGTTCAGACTGCAAGATAAGGGTGCACAATTGTTGCCCCACTTGTCGCTATGAGCTTGGAGATATAAGGTGTTTGGCTTTGGAGAAAGTTGCTGAATCGTTGGAACTTCCATGCCGATACCAGAGTTTAGGCTGTCATGATATTTTTCCATACTACAGCAAGCTCAAACATGAGCAACACTGTCGATTTCGTCTATACAACTGCCCTTATGCTGGATCTGAGTGCTCTGTTACAGGTGATATCCCCACTCTCGTTGGGCATCTTAAGGAGGATCACAAGGTTGACATGCATGATGGGTGCACCTTCAACCATAGATATGTTAAAGCAAACCCAAATGAAGTTGAAAATGCAACTTGGATGCTTACTGTAAGTTTTTTAGTTTAATATTTTAAACGTGTTACAAGAATTATAAATGTATGTAGTTAAACCCCATACCTTTTTTAATAATTTTTTGTGGCGTGTATACAATGTTCTGTTGCAATATCTATACTGTTTCTGCTTGGAAAATCTAACTTTTGTATGACCGGTACCTTGAATTATGTTTTCTCTTGCAGGTCTTCAATTGTTTTGGAAGACAGTTCTGTTTGCACTTTGAGGCTTTCCAGTTAGGAATGGCTCCGGTCTACATGGCTTTTTTACGATTCATGGGTGATGATATTGAGGCTAAGAAGTTCGGCTATAGTTTGGAAGTTGGTGCAAATGGCCGTAAGCTAATATGGCAGGGGATACCTAGGAGTATTCGTGACAGTCATGGAAAAGTTCGAGACAGCCAGGATGGACTCATTATTCAGAGGAACCTGGCTCTCTATTTCTCAGGCGGGGATAGGCAAGAACTAAAGTTGAGGATTACTGGCCGTATATGGAAAGAAGAATGAAGATCTGGGTAGATGATTGGTGTTTAGGTGTACAGTTAAAAACTGAGACTAGCTAGGGTAGCTCCACGTAGAAGCGTCAATGTGTTTCGCTTGGTTTTCTTCATTTGAACTTGGAGTTGAAGTGACTGAGCTTGAGGGTATTTTGAAAACTTGATTATCCGCTGACCGCTGTAAGATCAGAGCTGCAGCTTAGCGTCGGAAAATGGATATTTGGGTTATTTAAGGGGTTCGATTGTGTATCCTTTGCTCTCAAGACTGACACAAAGTCCTTGGCTTTATATGTATCTAAATACACCTATTGCCATGTATTCTGTACCTATGTGTTTCTGATGTAATGTGGCCATTAACACCGTATGGCCTGAAGTAATGAATCCATTCAAGAGATTTCTTCTTTTGCTTGGCTTGGTCTGAATCAAACTTCTGCAAAACTCGCATTGTTGGCAAATAAATTGGGCATAGATATTCTCATGGTCGCCGGATGACCTAATGATGCATGGTCGTTCACCCTTGGATTTGATATCAAAGGTGGAGAATAAATGGGTGTGCTATTAGTGTGTTAATCTCACCCTTGACATCAAATTCAAAGGCGAGCGGCGATGAATCTTTGACCACCTGGTGGCTAAGAGAATGGAACTTATTAATTGAGTATGATATTCCTTCAAATAGAGCAGCAGCTGCTTGCTTTTGGGTTGGACTACAGCCTAACTCAGTCAATTCATGCCAAAAAATGTGGCAGGAACATGACATGATAGCAACCATTTTCTGAAAGAGAGGAATGCCCAAGCTACCATATTTGTGAAACAGTAATTTTGATAGTCTCCAACTTTTCATGCCAATTTTGCTTTATCGACTGATATAACATTTTTTTTTATTTATTCTGAGTAGAAAAAGTTCTGATTGAGCTCAAATAAGAAGGAAACAAATAAAGCACTGTCACACATACTGTAAAATCGGTGTCTCAAATATTGTGAAAGCATGAACAGTATCTGGAGGTGAAAAACCCGGAATAATTGCTGCTATCACAGAAGAATTTCAGTAAGGGTTTATAACTCAAGACTTAAAGTGATGAAAACAAGTGTTCTTTTACTTTTGGCAAAAGCAAAGTCACTGGGCACGTGTGCTTGGCAGAGTAGCAGCAAAGCAAAGTTGACTTTGTATAGATTTCGAAAGTACACCATCACCCGTGTGACTAATATGGTGCTACGTGATAGGAAACTTACACGTAATTTTGTATAAGAGCACTCCCACCGTAGCAAATTGCTCGGGGGACAGTGTCCAAAACAAAGGCCCGAGGGCCGGTGGTAGGCCTCCAGCGTGAGGAAGCCCGAGGGAAGGGGGAGGCCCGAGCAAAGGGCCCGTGAGGGATTGCCAGCCCTTGAGCTCGAGGTGGGAGTGACGCAAGGCTGACGCCAGGGTGGCGTCAGCGTATTATTTAATTTTTTTTGTGTCAGGCGCGTGCACCCCACCCGCGCGTGGGGGCGCGTCCCGACACATTAATCAGAAAAAAAAAAAGGGTTTTGTCAGTTACCGTTGGGAAGCCACGTGGCTTCCCACGGTGCGTTAGATCCTAACGGTCACTTAATGTGGACCGTTAGATCTCAACGGTAAAAAAAAAAAAAATTGACAGATTTAATATCCACCGTTCGATCTGAGATCAACGGTGGATATTAAAATGCTTTAAAAATTAAAAAATAAATGAAAAAATAGTTTAAAAAATTTGAAAAGTTACCGTTGTGACACGTGGCACAATTTGGAGCGTTGGAATTCAAATTTTTTTATATCCAACGGTAGAGATTAATTAATTGAATAAAAATTTAAAAAAAAGTGTAAAAAATTCAAAAAAATTCAAAAAAATATCTGAAAAATCTGAAAATTACTCGAAGTGGGGAAAATTACTCGGATATGGTAACAAGATATTATTATTTATTGTTTGTATTCTTTATTTGTTACGTACAAAATTTATTATTTATTGTTACTTATTTGTTACATTATAATTATGTTGTTTGTTACATTATAATTATGTTGTTTGTATTATTAATTTGTTTGTTACATTATAATTATGTTATTGTTACTTATTTGAAATTATTTTGTATTACATTTAAAATTATTTTGTATTAATTTTATAAATAAAAAAAATACTAATATTTTATTGCTTATTGCCAGGGCTATAAAAGTGTAACGGTGGAGATGCAAAATCTATTGCCAGGGCTACTTACTGTTCATTAAGGACAATTACTGTTCATTAGGTGGATTGAATAGTGTATTGCCAGGGGGGAGTGCTCCAACGCTGGAGTTGCTCTAATTGACACCAGACATCACGAGAAAAAATACTCACATCTATAATTATTTGATTCACTTAATGAGATTCTATGTACAACACTTCAGATTTCTCGACTGTACCAGAGTCATAACCTATATATATATATTGGTCTTTGAAAATTCTTTTGCATTGTCATATTTTCTCGCTCTTTTTTGGATTTTCTTTTACTTTCTTAGGTCCATTTGGTACCTTTTTTTTTTCTTTCACCACAACCGGTTTTACTTTGAAGTTAAGCTATAAAAATTGTTTGAGAAAAATAAAATATCATGCCTATTTTGTTAAAAGTAATGATATTTAGACATCAATTTTTATAAGTTTTTCATAAAAAGCGGAGTTGAGCTTTTAATGAATATTTTCAATTCTTATAACACCCTCATTAGGTTTTAAAATGACATTATTTATTCTTATATACGCATGCTATCCTTGGAGAATAAAGTGACGGTCACCACTTACTAACACCACCACTGTCATTACCACCACCATTTTGCCACGACCACAACCACAACCTCCACCTCTGCCACCACAACCACAAATGCAACCACCTCCATTGCTGCCGCTGCCACCAGCACTACCGCAATCACTGCCGCTGTACTTACCACTATTGTTATTTTGTACCCTAACCACCATACCCCTATTGACAGCACCATCATACCCCAAATATTGCCGCCATCACCACCACCACTACCACTGCCACTACCACCACCACTATCCCCACCACCACCACCCCTACCAATGTCGCTGCCACCACTATCCCCACCATCGTTGCCACCACCACCACCCCTACCATTGGTGTGGACGCCACACCCCCACTACGTACTATGTCCATTTTTATTATTACACATGATGCGAGAATTATACGCACACAAATTAAACCCTCTTGTTGTCAAATTGTAGTAAGGATGCAAGTAGGGATCGTTCTAGACCGGGGATTAGGGATGAATGGATATGTGATGGAGTGAAGTGTTGGAAGTGATGGTGTTTGGATTGGTAGGGAGACTCATGGCACAAAGGGAATGGTTGGTGTTTGTGACTGAAATGTGTATGGAAGAATGAATGAGAATGAGTGGGAATGAATGCTTATTTATAGGCGAAATGGGGGGGGGGGGGGAACATGACAGCTAGGAGGGAATGTGGCTGCATGTTTGAATGATTAAAGGATGCATGTGGGTTGGAAATGCATGTGCAAGCATGTGTTGGCTGAATTAAAGCTATGTGAATGATTAGGGTGAATTAAAGGATGGAATGCATGTGAATTAGGTTGGAAATCTGATGGGAACTCACGGCATTAAGTGGAGTGAGATGATTGAATGTTTAATGGTTGCATGTGGCTAAAATGAAGTGTGTATGCATGTGCACGGCACAAAGGGAAATGGTTTTGGTGAATGGCTGATTAGAATCTAGGGTGAATGGTGTGTACGGTTTTTGGGAGAGAAAGTGTGTTGGATGATTTATAGAGATGCATGTGGATTAAAGGAATGCATGTGCAATGGATATAGGAAAGGTTTAAATGCCCTAGAACTAAAGGGAACAAGGTTCCAACACTTTGGTCTTCAATTAGGTCTTCAATTTCGTCCAACACTTTGGCTCCAAGCATAAGCTATCCATCCTTAGCCCAAAAGTGCTCCAAAAGTCTCCAAAATGCATCTTTTTGCTCCTTTAGCCCTTTGGACCTACAAACACACGAAAATAGCTTAAAGTACTAAAATAACTAAAGAAACATAACGTAAATGCACGAGAACAAGCCATTTAAGTCGCATGAATATGCTCCTATCAAATACCCCCACACTTATCTTTTGCTAGTCCTCGAGCAAAACAAAACAAAAACAAATAAACAAAACGACACTAAACACGTAAAACACAACCTAAACCTTCCAACAACCGTCTTAGGGATTTCCAATGCACATGACATGTTAAAAATCATCATTCTCACAGATTTTAGTCATCTTCACACTTAAGTACATTCTTAATCATAGTCACCACATACTATTTCACAATTAAGCATTTAAAACCATGTTTTGAATGTAGTAACATGCCTTAGAGAATTTGCTCAATTCCTTACAAGATATGCACTCGATTTTCACTCAGATTTTCTAACTACACACCCTAATCTAGTCATATGTGAGAAGATTAATGAAAACGAACACTCACATATATATATCACAAAGAGAGCAATTTCCGGAGTTAATAAGCATGTTTAGATATGATCTCATGAATGGAATGCTACTACTTAGATGCGAGAACCAGTGACACCATATGCTCATACCAAATTCAAACTCCACAAATTGAAACACATAACACTCAAGATAGAAGTTAAGGGTTGTAATGGGGCTTGGGGTGTTGGTTAACAAGGAAAGGATAGGGAAAACAAACGTTCTTCAAGCAATAGTAAGCAAAGCAATGAAATTGAGACTTAGAATTCACTTAGATTGCAGAAATTAACTTTAAAACACAAGGGAAAGATTTAGACAACTCCTTAGGGCCGAATTCATTGTTTTGGATCCTTACTTCAACAAACAATACTTTGGAACTCTTTTTCTCAACTTTTCAACTTTTTCTTCATTTTTTTTTTCTTTTTCCACGAATTTTTTTTTTCGTGCCTATAGCACACAATTCCTCATGAAAAACACTTCCCCCACACTTGTTTTCTGCCAACATAAATCAAAAGGACTTCAATTTGAATCATGCTTTGCTATGCTTCAAGAACAAGGGTATGGATAGTCCTAATCTAGGCCAGGTGAGGAAAACATGAGTTAACAAATAATGACGGCTAACAAGGCTCAATGGGGTTAAAAACCTACAAAACATAATGACATAGGGCACACGGCTTTTTGGCTAAAGTGGTGGTCACTACACAACTTCATCTTGAATGTGTGTTATGCAAATCAATAACATGCTTTGAATGAAATGGATATAAATTCTAGCATTTAGTTCTATCATGATACAATTGCATTCTAAGTAGCAACCAAGCAAGGAATAATGAGATCATGCAACAACTTTAGAAAACAAAGAATCATAGAAAATAACTCTCCAAAGAACATTTAGGCTCAAGTTTCACAAGGTTGTAGCGTTTGT